TTAGAATTATTTTTAACATTTTGGAGAAAACATTTATTTTTAAAATTTTTAATTAAAACTCATCAAATAATTAATTAGTTTTTAATAATTAGTTTATTTAAATTATACAAAAAATCTATTAAGGGGCCGTCCATAAACCACGTGGACACATTTGGGGGGCGGGGGGGGTGAATCAAAAGTCCACGTTTGTCCACGAAGGGGAGGGGGGGTGTTAAAGCAAATGTCAACGTGGACATATAATCAAAGATATTTCCAAAAAAGATATCTCAAGCTTAATCAGAATGATCATAAGTTTCAGTTAATCAATTTCCCTGACAATTTACTGATATTAAAATTAATTTCCCTGACAAAATTCTTTTTACAGGAAAATATGAATGTTTACGGAAAATGAGTAAAATTTATGATTTTAATTATTTTTTAAAATGACAATTATAACCCTTCCTGAATTCAATTATTTTCTACAATTTCCACCCAGTAAAAAAAAAGTATTGGAAGAGAGCGAATAGTATTGTCGGTGAGTTTCTGCCAATACGGTTTTCACGCGAAAACATATTGGCAGAAACTCACCGCCAATACTATTCGCTCTCTTCCAATACTTTTTTTTACTGGGCAACTAAACCTTCGTCTTTGAATCAATTAATTTAAATAATTTTCCGAAAGTTCTTCTAAAATTCTGTTATATTTTAAAATTTTTTTTGAATTTGATTGATAAATTTTAATTAAAAATTTTTAACATGATTGTTTCCTCTAAAATGTTAAAAATAATTTTAAAATGTTATTTTTTTGTATATATTTGAATTTTTGGAAATATGTAATTGAGAATATTGAATATTAAAAAATTAGAAGCTAATTTTCATTAATTTTCATTTTTAAATTTACCTTTAAAGATTTTTTATTCTACAAAAATTGTAACGAAAGACTTAAAATAAATTAATTATTTTCAATTAAATTTTACAAAATTTCAACTATTCAAAAAGATTTGTTTATACAGGGTGGCCATTTTTTTGTAAAAAAAAATTCACGGTCATTTCCCGGTCATAAATTATTTTTCCCGGTCATAAATAATAACTCTGAAAATAAATTATTCCATGAAAGATTGAAAGAATTTCCTGATTTTTAGACAAAACTTTGCCTTTTTCCTAAAACCTAAAAATATTTTAGTTTACTCTAAAAATAATTTTGAACTTAAATAGATTTTTTGAAATAAATATTTAATTATTATCCATTATTTTTCCATATAGTAGGTATTCAAATTTAAAAAAAATTCAAATTTTAAATCCTTTAAATTTGAATAATTTTAAAGAATTGCTACTGTAACTTATTAACAATTATTTTCAAAATTTCAATTCAATTATATTCTAGAAATAACTAAAATATTTCTAAAATCCACTTGTTTACAAGACAATTTCATGAAATTTTGAATAATTTAAAAATTTTTCAATTAAATATTAGGTACATATTTAAAAACATAACTAATTTGAAAAAATGTGAATAAAAATATTTTTAAAAACTGACTTATTCAGAATTTGTAATTAAAATCTTTTAAAATTCAACTTTTCTAAAACTTAAATTTGAAATTTTTTAAAATTCAATCTATAATAATTATTAATTTAACATTCTAAAATATAGAAAAATTTGCTTATCAATAATTGCAAAAAAAAACTAATTGATATTAATGCAAAATACGATTTTTTAAAGAATTTTCTTAAAAAGGAAATTTTATTTATTTTTATATACATTATTTATTATTCTAAAATTAATTTTTATAAATTTCGTATCACTTTTGTTCTAATTAGTTGAAATTTTTAATAATTCTTATTTGTTTTGTTATAATATTATTGCAAAAAAATTTTTAAATTGATTTATTTTTCACTATTCTATAGGATGTGAAATTTTTTCTCATTGAAATTTTTTTGACAAGTTTAATTAAAATTATATTTTGTTTAATTATTGTTAGAAATAGAAAGAATTTAAAATTAAATTTAATATTTTCTTTTTCTAAATCTGTTACGTTGGACAGCAAAATTCATAATTTTCTTATAAATTCTAGAAATTGAATATTTTTATAGTACTTTTTATAAAATTCTCTGACAAAATATAAATAGATTTTATAGAAGATCGTTCAATCTTTTTTAATGAAATATAGTTAATACCTAAGTCTTGAAATAAATATTTTTATTTTTTCTCACAAAATAATGTGTGTTTTTAAAAAAAAATCCAAAATCCCGGTCAAGTTCAAAATTCACTGTCATTTCCCGGTTTCCCGGTCCAACGGCCACCCTGATTATAGTTATTTTTCACATTATAAAAATCAAAATAACTTGTACTTTTTTTTACTAAAAATTGTGGTATTTTGTCGCAATTATTTTAAATGAGTCGAAAAAAGTCACAATTTTCTTAATTTCCCCAAAAAATTTTTTCCTGACATTTCCCTTACTTTACTGACATTCTTGCTTTGAAATATGTTCAAAAATAATCTTTTTTATTTTTTAACATACAGGAGTAAAAAAAACTTATTTTTTTAATTTGCAATATCCACGTGGACAATTGTATAGGGGGGAGGGGGTTTGACAAATGTCCACGACTGTCCACAACGGGGGGCGGGGGGGTCAAAAATTGGTGAAAAATTGTCCACGTGGTTTATGGACGGCCCCTAAGAAATTCAATCCTATTTTCAAAAAATTGCATTAAATTTTTTTTAAAAACTAATTCGTATAATTGTTTTATAATTATTATTTTAGATTTAATTATCTTCGAACAATGTAAATAAAAATTTTTGAATATTCACTTTTTGGATTTATTGAAATTTTTGACAAATTATGGTCCTGTTAATAATTAAAATTCTTAAAAAATTTGATAATTTTTATTAATATTTTTTACAAATTCTATTATTTTTAAGAGATTTTTACAAATTTTAATTGTTTTTGAAGATAATTGAATCTTAAATAATCATTATAAAACAATTATACTAATTACTTTTTAAAAATATTTTAATGTCATTTTTAAAAAATAATTGAATTATTTAAAAGAGTTTTTGTATAATTTAAAAAAAACTAATTGATTTTTTTGATGAATTTCAATTAAAAATCTTGAATATAATTGTTTTTTTCAAAATTTTAAAAATAATTCTGAAATATTATTTTTGTAGTATGTATTTAGATTTTTGGAAATATATGTATGTAATTGAAAATACTGAAAATATTAAATTTTAAAAAATTAGAAGACAATTTTCATCAATTTTATTTTTTAAATTTAATTTAAACAATTTTCAAAAAATGTAACAAAATACTTAAAATAAATTAATTATTTTTCAATTAAATTTTACAAAATTTTAACAATTCAAAAAGATTTTTATTATAGATCAAAAATTGAATTATGTCTTTGTTTGGGTTTCGAAGTGAACCACGGGTGTCCTGCCGCCCGGGGGGCTGGCGCCCTGAAGTCTATCGACTGTGGAAGGGGCCGGCCAGGCGATTCCCCCTCTATTCGAGTTCTTCTCTGAAATTCGGGAGTCAGTGAACTGCCTGAGGCATTACTCTTAGTCTTCTCACTTCAGACGGACGCTCGGGCAGATCTTGTGAAAACTTATTTAAAATTTCTATCACTCTTTTTTTTTCTCGTTATAAAGTGTTCTCGTTTGGTTTTTCTTCACATTTTTTATATTTAGTTCGCGTTTCCTTCTTTGTACACGGGGCTGTCCCCCCTCTCAGACAACCCTCTGGGTTGTCCAGCATGGTGTGTCGTTAGTTTAACTTTTTTTTCATTTTGTCCGTTCATTTTTCAGTTTTTCTAAATTAATTCATTAAACTCTAACAGAATTTTGGTGCATCGGCCGGGAATTTGCCTCTATTCCCCCGTTAGTCTTGGACTAAAGAGCAAATTAATAAGGGCAAAAGCAAAAAAGGGTATCTTATTAATTTGCTATCGTGAGGTCGAAGGATAAGGGCAAAAGCAAAAAAGGGTATCTTATCCTTCGCCGAACGAGAAGGAACACACGAGGGGGATAGGGGCAAAGGCAAAAAGGATACCCTATCTTTTCCTGAAAACATCCTCACCGTTGTCTCGCAACAAGATGGCTCCAACCTTGAAAAAACTATTGTCGCAACAGGCCACTCGCCTCGACACAATAAAAAGAACTATCACACGTAGAAAACAGGCATCGAAGGAAGGAACCCTATCCATTCCTCTTCTTAAGTCTAGGTTGAACCAGTTAGAAATGTACTGGAACGAGGCCCGAGAAGCTCACCTAGACATCGTGAGTACTGCGGACTCTGAAAAAGAGCCCTATGTTACTGAACAACAATTTGAAAACATGGAGGTCGAATATGAAGCCGAAACCGATGATTTAGCTTCACTACTACACGACTCAACAACATCCACTCAACATAACGAGCCCTCCAATCTACATACAGGCGGACCAATTTCAAGCAAGTTGCGCCTGCCGAAGTCTACATTACCGCAATTCTCTGGGAAGTACGAAGATTGGGGAAACTTTTCAGATTTATTCCTCTCCATGATAGATGAGGACAAAACGCTGCCTAATGTCGTAAAACTGCAATATTTGAAGCAATGTTTAACCGATGAGGCTGCCGACTTTGTGAAGGACATCAAAGTAGAGGAAGTAAATTACAAGCCCACATGGGAGGCATTAAGGGGCAGATACTGCAACGTACGCCTGCTCATACATACTCACTTCAACACCCTTTACAATCTACCCAAACTACAAAGCGAATCGGTAGCAGACCTCAAAATACTCATCGACAAAACTAGACAAGCTGTCCGCTCTCTGAAAAACATCGGAAGAGAAATCATCGGTGATTGGCTGGTTTTACCACACGAGCGAACGGCTGGATCCAGAGTCGCGCCTTCAATGGGAAAACTACCTCAGCACCCGGAGTTCGAAACCCCCCAATTCGGAAGGCAACGACACGGAACCCGATGATTATCCCACATTCCAAGCTTTGGCAAAATTTATCGACGATCGAATAATCACCCTAAACATGACAGACTCGCATCGCTCAACGACAACCACCAACTCGCTCGCATCAAGTTCAAAAAAACAAGGACAGAAAAACATCAAGAGGTCTTTTCACAACTCAGAAAAGAGCGGACCTTCAAACCGGAAATGTCCAAAGTGTTCCGAAGAACACTACATAGGTCGCTGCCCGACCTTTAAACAACTTAGCACATTGGAGCGCCTTAACGAAGCACGACGAATGAAACTCTGTTTTAATTGTCTAGGCCTTCACCAAATCAAGGACTGCACTTCCAAGGGACGCTGCTTCGAATGTCATAAGGAACATCACAGCCTTCTGCACAGGCCATCTAGAGACGAAAAATCCGAGCACGAAAAGAAGGCAAAAGGCCCTCACCAGACACAAAGTCCACCGGCTAGTGCTGCATTCTCCGTCCGTACGAATACAACGTCCATCAGCAGATCCAAACGGACAATTCTTCTGGCAACAGCCTGCGCTGTTCTTGAGGGACCAAAAGGCCAAATCAAGGCCCGTGCCATGCTGGATCAAGGATCCGAGGTATCCTTCATTTCACAGGATGTCGTAAGGCAATTGGGACTATCATGCTACCCCGCAAATGTCACTATCCTGGGATTGGGAAACCACAAAGTGGGGGAGGCAAAAACAGTTGCCACGATGACCCTAAGGTCCGTGCACCAACCCGACTTCCATCTCGAATTCCAAGCTTATGTGGTCCCGAAACTTACATCAAGGCTTCCAACAAGAAGAATAGTGGAGATCGATCTAGATTGGCTCGGAGCAGAAAAGTTGGCTGATCCTCTGTACTACCAACCTGGAACAATCCAACTTATAATCGGTGCCGATTACTATGGACAGTTATTAGTACCAGGGCTGTACCAGATTGAAAACCCAAAAGCAACAGCCCAAAAAACAGCTCTGGGCTGGGTTGTTTCGGGAACAGTTCAAACCGAGTCTAAACGGCGGGCGGAACCAACTTCACCAATAACAGTTTCGTCAATGCATTGCTTACCGTCAGAAAATATTCAAGATCAACTACAACGCTTTTGGGAATTCGAAACAATCCCAAATAACAAAGTTATCAAGCCAGACGACGAACGTTGTGAAAAACATTTCGTCAATACACATACACGAACCCCAGAAGGCCAGTACATGGTCCGTCTTCCCATTAAGTGTCAACCTCCAGAGGCTGCGGCTGAAACAAGAAAAATGGCTGCAAGCAGCCTAATTGGAACAGAGCGACGATTTAAACAAGATATCAAGTTATCCGAAGCCTACTGCGAGTTCATGGATAATTACGAATCAGACGGCCACATGGAGAGAGTTCCAGAGGAGGAATTAAACAACCCAAAGGCTTGGTACATACCACACCACGCAATAATCTAACAATTAAACAACTTGGGCTGGAAATTAAGAGTGGTGTTTAACGCATCAAGGTTAACCTCTCAGAAAAAATGCCTTAATGATTTCCTGCATGCCGGACCTGCTCTACAGAACGACATTGGCCTCATACTATTAAACTGGCGCAGACACAGAGTCGTTTTCACCGCGGACATAGTAAAAATGTTCCGCCAGATCCTCGTCCATCCGGAAGATCGCGACCTACAACGGATTCTATGGCGATCAACTCCGGAGAAACCCATCGAAGAATATCGGCTCTGCACTGTCACATATGGCACGGCGTGCGCGCCATATCTCGCCATCCGCACCTTGAAACAACTTTCGATCGATGAAGGAGCTCAATTTCCACTTGGAGCGGACTGTTTGTTAGATAACACCTATGTCGACGATATCTTCGACGGCGATGATGACGTCCTTCACGCCGAGAAGAAACGAGATCAAGTGATAGATCTCTGTGCGAAGGCGAACCTTAAGTTAGATAAATGGGCAGTAAACCACCCCGATCTACATCCTTCATCTAGCGCACCACTATCCTCGGAGATCATCGACAAAAACACAGTCTTTAAGACTCTGGGGATACTGTGGGCTTCAAGAGTCGATTACTTTGCTTTCAACAACCCTCAAAAAACACACATCTCAGGGGATGCGACAAAAAGAATGATTTCCTCTAGCATTGCCCAGCTATACGACCCTTTGGGCTGGCTCGCACCTATCACAGTGGTCGCCAAGATCATGCTCCAGGACCTCTGGATACTCAGAATTGACTGGGATGCTGAACTCCCTACCGAAGTACAAGAGCGCTGGACGCAATATTATCAATCCCTAGTTGGATTATCAGGTATCAAGATACCACGCTGGCTAGGAAGCTTTTCGAACTCGCTGATCGAGCTCCATGGATTCTCAGACGCATCCACTCGAGCCTACGCAGCAGTAGTCTACGTGCGAGTCCTTAAATACAAAGAGGACGGTCAAGTTACACTTCTTGCAGCGAAGTCCAAAGTCGCTCCTATTAAGACTGCAACAATACCAAAGCTAGAACTCTGTGGAGCTGCTCTCCTAGTAAAGCTCTTAAAATACGTTAGACGGCTGACCTTTCTAAATGCTGTGCCTGTGACGGCTTGGTGTGACAGTCAAGTCACCCTAGCCTGGATCAACCAACATCCATCTAAATGGAAAACCTTCATTGCGAACCGTGTCTCCTACATTCAGACTGAACTGCCTTCGGTGAAATGGAGACACGTGCCTAGCCAAGAAAATCCGGCTGACCTAGCGACACGAGGTCTTCAACCAGAGACCCTACGAGAAAATAGACTTTGGTGGAATGGTCCACAATGGCTGTCCCTATCACCGGCTAATTGGCCCTCTCAACTTCAACGTCCCGATACCGAAAATGCGGAAGTAAAAGCGTTCCTCACAGTCAAGAATGAAGTCGAAATTGAGATCCTCTCAAGATTCTCCTCTTTGCAACGGCTTATTAGAGTTGTAGCATTCTGCTTGAGAGTGTTCAAGAACTATAAAGCAAAGGGATCTGAAAACTCTTTCAAGGATACAGTCCTCTCCTCGACCGAATTGGACTCCGCCAAATCGACGGTCTTAGCGATAGCGCAGAGGAAAACATTCTCTGAGGAGATAGACTTACTCAAAAACGCGAAAAGCATTCCTAAACATAGCAAACTCCGCAATCTCAACCCCTTTTTGGATAAAGCGGGAATCCTTCGAGTAGGTGGACGTTTGAAACATTCCTCACTAGCCTTCTCCTCGAAGCATCCACCGCACCGATTCTACCAAAAGATTCACCACTGACACCCTTGTATGTAAGCTTAGCGCACAAGGTCTCGGGTCATGGAGGACCAAAATTAACCCTGAGCATCCTTCGAAACTTAGTGTGGATTGTCGGCGCAACCTCACTAGTGAGAAAACTGGTCCGCAAGTGTGTGCCCTGTCACCGAATTAAACCTCGCTTTCCCACGCAGCTCATGGGTGATCTCCCACCCGCAAGAATAGAACCGGCTCGTCCGTTTACGAATTGCGGACTAGACTACGCTGGACCTTTTCAACTGCGGGCCACTAAAGGCCGTGGAATCAAATCCTACAAAGGATACATTGTAGTTTTCGTTTGCTTCGCTACGAAGGCGATTCATTTGGAAGCGGTGAGCGACATGACGACTTCAACCTTTCTAGCAGCCTATCGCAGATTTACAGGACGAAGAGGTCTTTGTCGACGATTGTACAGCGACAACGGAACAACATTCCAAGGTGCCGATCGGGAACTAAGATCCATGTTTAAAAGGGGGTCCACATTCTACATGGAAGCCACAGCGGCTCTCGCAAACGACGGAGCGACATGGAGCTTCATCCCCCCAAACTCACCTCACTTCGGCGGACTCTGGGAGGCCGGAGTGAAATCGGCAAAGCACCATCTGGCTCGACTGATGATTTCGCGGACATTTACTTTCGAAGAGTTTAGCACCCTCCTTACTGAAATAGAAGCCTGCTTGAACTCAAGGCCTTTATGCGCCATGTCAACCGATCCAGAGGATCTTAACGCTCTGACCCCCGCACACTTTCTCATCGGTAGCACATTGGCAATGATTCCTGACAAAGAACCACCGAACGTACCTGACAACCTATTAAAGCGCTACGAACTTATTCAAAAAATAAGGAACAACTTTTGGAGAAGATGGTCCCAGGAGTACCTACAGTCGCTGCAAGTCAGAGGGAAATGGCAGCAACCTTCGGACAATTTCAGTGTCGATCAGTTAGTGCTCATCCAGGACAATCGATACCCCCCCGCGAAGTGGCCTTTAGGAAGAGTGATCGCGGTTCATCCGGGGGCTGACGGGATGGTCCGAGTGGCTACAGTGAAAACAATTTACGGAACATATCGTCGCCCTATCGTGCGACTTAGCCCAATACCGCCACCTCATTAAACAGGAAAAAGTGTCATTTGTCCTGCGGACAAGGCGGGCGGGAATGTTTGGGTTTCGAAGTGAACCACGGGTGTCCTGCCGCCTGGGGGGCTGGCGCCCTGAAGTCTATCGACTGTGGAAGGGGCCGGCCAGGCGATTCCCCCTCTATTCGAGTTCTTCTCTGAAATTCGGGAGTCAGTGAACTGCCTTGTGAAAACTTATTTAAAATTTCTATCACTCTTTTTTTTCTCGTTATAAAGTGTTCTCGTTTGGTTTTTCTTCACATTTTTTATATTTAGTTCGCGTTTCCTTCTTTGTACACGGGGCTGTCCCCCCTCTCAGACAACCCTCTGGGTTGTCCAGCATGGTGTGTCGTTAGTTTAACTTTTTTTTCATTTTGTCCGTTCATTTTTCAGTTTTTCTAAATTAATTCATTAAACTCTAACAGTCTTAAAAAATGATTTGAAAACAATTTTCAAATAATTTGTTTATAGTTTTAAACTCATAGATTAACTCATTAACGCCTGAAAAAAGAAAATTCTTATTAAATTTTATTTTATTAAGTGTGCTCTTTTCGATTCCAGTGTGAAAAAAAGAATTTCGTTCAACCCAAACATTAAATATAGCGGTTATAATTTCAAAAACACAAAAAAATTTCATTTTTTTAAGTTTGATAATTTTTTTACGCTTTAACCCCTTCCCAGTGTATGACGTCTATAGAGGCAAAAATAATTCGTGGCACCCATGTGTATGACCGCTATAGTGGCATCTAAAAGGAAAATCTCGGTAATAAATGAAATATGAATATCAATGAATATTCTAAAGTTTTGGGGTCACTTAAAATGCTGATTCGGGGGATTTTAAGGTTTCTAAATCCAAATCTTTAGTCAAAATTTAAAAATTTTAAATAGCGGCTCCAAAATAGCCAACAAAAAAATTTTAAATCAGTAAACTTTGAAATTTGTCGATCGCCTTTTTAAATCTTGATTACGCTGATTACGAATTCGATTTTAGTTTTCAATAAGTCAAAATGGCGGATCCAATATGGAACAAAATTTTTACTTTATTCAATTGATCTTAATTTTGTCACTTGGTGGTTTTTAAGGTCGCTGATTACGAATACGATGTTTGCTTTCAAAAATTCAAAATGGCTAATATAATATGGGGAAGAGAAATTTAAAAAAAAATTTCTATGCACGCTCGCTGGTTGTGAGTCGGTGCAAGTGCTGAAACAGAAGTCAATTGTCAGTGAGAGCTCCTTGGACATTTACACCTACCTGACTGGTATTAGAACTCCCGAGTAACAAAATTAAGGTCAATTGCATAAATTAAAAAGAAAATTCCGCTTTTTTAAATTTATGAAAACTTACATCAAATTTAGAATCAGCGACCCTAGAAACCACCAAGTGACAAAATTAAGGTCAATTGCATAAAGTAAAAATTTTTGTTTCAAATTGGATGGGGGTGGTCAAAGATTGGTGAAAAATTGTCCTCGTGGTTTATGGACGGGCCCTAAGCTTATATTGCGGCTTATATCATGACTATCAATAAATCTCGGTGTCAATCTTTTGACAAAGAAGGAAGAATACTTCAATAAAATAATTCTTCTAATGTGTAATGAATTTATATAAAGTTTTTCTATCGCTAAACTAAACTAATCGAAACAGGAACCATTATTATTATTATTATTATTATTATTATTATTATTATAAAAAAATTATAACAAATTTTCGAAAATTGGCTGCCACGGAGCTGACCACCCTATGCATTGAATCATACTGCTCAACTGGGGCTATTTTATGTACGCGAGGTATTTAATAAATAAAATTATTAAAAAGAACCTCTTTGTCAAAAAACCATAAATAAGTTAATTAAAATCCTTAAAACTTCAACCGGTGGGCAACATAACGGCAGAAAATTAACTTAAATTAATATTTACAAGTTTTTCAAATTAGTTTTAAAACTATTTCTCTCGTTTTTCTAATAACTTGAAAAGTGTATTAGATATTAAATTGTTATTCATTTAACCTTAAAAAATTAATTTCAAGTTTTTGAAAAATATAATATTCAAAACGTTTAAAAAAGCTCCTATTGAAATGATGATTCAAAGTTATTTACATGTGTTTAAATGATAGTTTTATAATTATCATAATGTATTATTGTAAAATGTATATTTAAAAGAAAAAGTGTTATTTATTTTCTGAGTAATATAAAATTTGAAGAAAGGTTCTTAATTTTTAATAAATCATGATTTTAGCAAAATCTTCGTGTTTTATTTTACATTTTGCCGTATAATATTTACAACATTTTTTTAATATCTCATTCTTTTTTTAATTTACTCTGAAATATCTACACAAAAGATTTAATGAAGGAGATAGGATCAAAAAAATGTTTACGTAACATTATAAAAAGACAAAGTTCGATGCACAAAGTAGCTTCATCCCGGGGTCTATTTTGTGCACAACTTTTAATGACTACAACTCCGACAAAAAAATTTATTTCATTGCCTCACTTATAGGAAACCTTCAGAAGGAAGTCCATAACATATGTCAAAAGTTGATTTTCTTTTAATTCTGAATTTGAATAAAGCATTGAGTTAAAAAAGCATTTTAATGCACAAAATAGCCCCTGCAAAAATATTTATTATCAGCTTGACATAACGAGAGAATTTCATTTACATAATATTATAAAATTAGCGCATAAAAATAATTTCAGAAAAGTATTCACCAATAAGAGCGTTACGATCAACAGTAATACTGTGTGTGTGCTTCTGCTTGGTTGACATAAAGACATTTTAAATTAAGCACCAAAAGTAAAGGCTTTTTCTCGAATATTAAGGTATTTTTTAATGAGTCAACGGTTGCCGAAGCACTGAAATATAAAAGGACACAACTATGTCTGTCCTCTTCTATAATATGTGTTGTTGTAGCAACTGTTGATCCATGAATTTGCACCTTCACACTGTACGCCACAGGCGCCACGGAACTGACATTTTATGTGACACCACGGAGCTGACATTTGACATTTAAACTAACCTAACTCCGACAATTTTGCAAAATAAATCTTTTCTTTGGGCAGATAATTTGTTTCTAATATAATCTTCGAAAAAATCGTAATAATTATCACAGAGAGTGTTTAGATTAAAAGAATAGTAATACCACGGTACTGACCACTTCTTTTGTGAACTTCACATTTTTACAAAAAAATTGTTTTTAACTGTAGAACTTCCAATTTTAGAACTTTTTTTACAGATATTTGTTGCTAATGGATCTTATTTTAGATTGTAATTCTTAAATAACATTAAAATGTGCCATAAACACTTAAATTATAGGGAAAAATATCTTATTACAAAATTGAAAAAATTTGTGGACAAAACTATTTTACATTTTATAACTTTAAAATAAATAAATAAATTTATAAGAAGTATTAGAAGATGCATTATATGCACAAATTGTTCACCTGTAATATACACAATTCATATTATAAAAATGCTCGTTTCCAGTTTTGACGTTTTCAGTAAAATTTCTGAATTTTAACTTAAAATTTTAAAAAACAGACACGCCACGGAGCTGGCATTTTGGAGGGAATTCTGCAATTTATCAAAAATTATAAGATATATTTGTACATATTTGTGGTTGCGAATAGGTTTTATATATACCTGTGAAATGTATCCACACCCAAGTAAAAATTTTTTATTTTGAATGTGTTTTCTGTGACGCCGCCAAATATTAGTTACGTGAAAATCACCCATATATATGTTTTTTGTTTTTTTTTTCGAAAAAAGAATTAGCTACGATTTTCGGAAATGAAAATTTGGAATCTTGGACCGATTCCAGATAAAACTGCGTTAGCACAATTTTGACTCATTTTAGGTAAACCTAATAGTGCTTGAAAACCGCCGTGTGCAATATAGCATAGTTTATACGAGTTTAAAAAAGTATGTTTTGTAACTGACTTTCAAATTTTCTTCGCTTATAACGAATTCTTGAAATAATACAGTTTTCCAGCAAACTAAAAAATTTAAGGAAATAATTATAAAAATAAAAATATATTATTATATTTATATTGTGAAACTGCTCAGTATGTTAAATTTAATTTTTGGTTTTCGTGTTTTATGTTTTTTAATATTCTTCAAAAAAATTTGTAATCTTTTTCTAATATTTCCAAAGAAGAAAAAAACATCTTAAAGTCTTAGTCACATTTTTATATACACTAATGAAATAAGGTCTTAAGTATCATCATAAGACAAAAGCAAAATATTACGCGCGCTTTAGCGCGCGTAGCTCTTTAATAAAAAAAAATTTGATACCAAAACATGCAGGGTGAAAAACGTAGATAAAATGAAGCTACCTAATTATGTTTTGGCGATCGTCGAATCAAAAAACTTGCGGTCGAATGGTAAATCGCAAAATTCAGAATTTTGTTGCAAAATTTGTCAAATTGCTACTGCATTGCCTAACAAGAATCTATCCCCTGTTCTTAGCCCTACTAACAGTAGTAAAAACAATTTAGGCAAAAAAAGCAAGGAGAAAATGAAGACAATGCCAGTTAAACGTAATTCTCGTGGACAACGAGTAAGCAGCGCAACCAAATACATTGTGTCAAATTTTACAGCTCCAGAGAAAGAAATGATAATGAGTGAATTAATAAAGGATAAAATTATTGAACAAAATTTAGATTCCAACGAAAAAAACATCAAATTATCTCTTAAACAGCCCAAAGGTGGACAAAATTTAGGCATTGTTGTAAAACCCAGTGTAAGCAACAAAACAAAATCAGTACAAATTCCAGCAGATGGTGTAAAAAAGATCAAAATGGCGTTTAATTTTTCCAACAACACTATGACTGGTATTGTAAGGGCATTTCGAGCAATCACAAATAGTAATAAACTCTTCGAGTCGGGAATAAAAGAAAAACTTGCTGTTGGTAATCATGTTTTAGATGGTTATTTTGATGTCAAAACAATAAATACAATTTTAAAATTAAAAAATCAGGTAACGGAATGTCAAAGAATTGCAATT